TTCTTTACTGAAAGAGTGATCAGGCATTGGAATAGACTGCCCAGGGAGGTGGTTAAGTCACCATCCCTGGAGGTGTTCAAAAAACGTGTAGATGTGGCACTTCGGGATATTGTTTAGTAGGCATCAGTGGTGTTGGGTTAATGGTTGGACTTGATTATCTTGGAGGTCTCTTCCAACCTATGATTCTATGATTCTTCAATCTTTAAACAAAGGTTCACCTTTCTAAAGAATAAGTCATCATTTATTTTTATGCTCTAGTTTCCCTGATCACTACCAGTGCTGATGAACTCACTGGTGCATAACCTCTGTTTATTGTGGGGGCCACAGGCCTCCCCAGACACTCCACTGAAATGTTCAGTCTTAGATTCTAGGATAGCATAGGCATGCCTGTCTTGGGGCACAGGTGGGCAGCAAGCTTTGTAGGTAAAAGAAACATCAGGTCCTCTGGTTAGAAAAGGCAGGCAGGTTTATGGGCACATATCCTCCTCCTTATTTCACAGTTGGAACAATAAGAAATCAAGTCCAAAGTCATTCAGTGAGCTAGTAGTAAAACTAGATAATATACTTCCTTTGTCCCAGTCCCGATGCTCCTTCCACCAGACTGTAACATCTACCATTTCCTTCTCCATCATTCAATTTAGGAGGACAGTATTTAAACAAGACTGATATAAGCTACATCACTCTTGGCCTCTTGCTTCTTTCACAGTTTGGTGAGAAGCTATTTTACCTTTATTCCAGGAATCAGAGGGGGAAAAGTCAAATTTTGGAGTGGGTGGGAGCTAGAAAGCAAAAGAGAGACAAAATATCAGCACTTGAGGGGTTTCACTTGTAACAGGATTCACATCACCTTGGAGAAGCCTCTAGACCTCAGATCTCAAAGACATTTAGGTGCCTACTCTCCATAAGTCTCAAAAGGGACCAGACAGGAGGCTTAACACCTGGACTTTGGTCTTTCCCTCAGTATAAAGTAGGGGCAGAAGGCAGTACGTATCATTCAGGTGCTCCTGAAAAATCAACTCCAAAGCAGTCTCCTTACAGTTATCTATTAGTTTAGAACAATCTCTAATACGAAAAATGCTTTTCAAACTTTTAGCAAGGCTTCTCCTGATCTGAGGATTTTAGAAACTAAGAATTACTCAAAGAGAAGGGCCTCTTCAGGCAATTTAAATTCAACTTCACAAACTGAAAGCAACTTGAGAAATTGGAAGGAGAATCTTTTCATTAGTTTCTTATAAGCATGTAGGATCCTTCAAAAGAAGCTTAGAAATACCACTACATAGTGAAATATCTCCCAGAGTATGCTTGCAATCCCCTCCTTGACCCTACATAGGCTAGTTACCCCTTCTTCCTTGAAATAACATCTGTGAGCAATGTCTCTCCCCTAAATTTAAAATTTTATCTAACTTCCATTTCAATCCTCTTCAAAATGTTCTCAGTGTGAAACCCAGTTTCAACAGCAAAACTCCTACCAGCATCACTGGAACCAGAATATTACCCAAATGTTTTCTCCTCCTCATTCAGAATATGTGTTTGTTTTGCTGACTGTGTTCATCTGCACGGTCCTTACCTCCCAGCCTATGTAACTCGTCCACTCTTGGACAGCTGGAGGCAGTGCTGCTTGAGCTTTTTTGAGGGCTTCAGCACCTTGTGTGCCACTGCCCAGCAGCCCCTGATCATATGCCACATATACAGCAGCTCCAGCCAGGCTTCCTTTGATGACAAACCTGAAAGAAACAAAAGCAGCAACAGTTCATATTATGACTATCAATGCACCTCTCTCCATAGGCTGTGACTGTCAAATTGATAAAGAAATATGAGGGTCACAAATACTCACAGAATCATGGAATGGTTTGGGCTGAAAGGGACCTTAGAGATCAACATCCCTGCCATGGGCAGGGACACCTTCCACTAGCCCAGGTTGCTCAAAGCCCCGTCCAACCTGGCCTTGAACCCTCATCCACAACTTCTCTGGGCAACCTGTGCCAGTGCCTCACCACCCTCAGAGTGAAGAATTTCTTCCTTTTCTGTAATCTAAATCTCCCCTCTTTCAGTCTAAAGCCATTATCCCTTGTCCTACCACTCCAGCCCTTGTAAAAAGTCCCTCTCCAGCTTTCTTGTAGGCCCCTTCAGGTACTGGAAGGCTGCTCTAAGGTCTCCCCAGCACCTTCTCCTCTCCAGGCTAAACAGCCCCAACGCTCTCAGCCTGTCTTCACAGGAAAAGTGCTTCAGCCCTCTGATCATCTCTGTGGCCCTCATCTGGCCCCACTGCAACAGGTCCATGTCCTCCTCTTTTTTTTTTTTTTCACTCTACTGTAAAATTTACTCTACTGTTATTTTTTTTTACCCTACTGTGATGTCTTATTACCGACAAAAAGCAGCAGAAAAATATCTAGCTACCTTCCTTTTCTTCCTAGGCCAACTATTCCCTGTCAGCCCCTTGAAACCATACCCATCCACATTTTATCAGTGACAGAAGAAATGATTAAAGTGTCAAAACACTTCAGAGTATGTGCTGCTTTTTAAAGTCAGAGAATCACTGGCATACACCTTCGATAAAAGGAACTGAAGGATTTTGCAGTGGGTAAGACATCCATCTTAATGATGTGGTTCTTGCTGTTTTGTTAATACGTAATCTGATTAATCTGACAGACACCAATACATTATTGAGCTCATTTCAGTCCAGTCCACACCTGGCCATGCCTGTTCCTGCATTGCCTAGGCTTTCAAAGCTTCCCGGTAGACCACATGGTGTGCAAACACTAGTTTTACAGCCACAGTGGCAATCTGCAAAATGGAAGACAGGAACAGAATATTTGACCTGTATTGACTTTTTCATTACAGATAAGAGATCTTGAGAGACAGACTTTTTCAAATTCACAGGGCAGAGAGTTGTTTCCCCTTTAAAAAAAACACAAAGCTACTACACACCTAGGAAAAAAACAACTAACCAAAAACTTGCCAGACAGCAGTACTGCAGTAGTAGAACATATGATAGATACATCCGTTGAGAAGCAAGAGAGAATCAATATTTAAATCCACGTATTCACGAGCATTTTGGGGAAAAGGGATTTTTCTGTTAATTTACTACTTGTTCCCAAAAGCACGCTTCCACACCTTCTCCCTTCGAGTGGGCTGTATGTCCAGATCTGAAAGTGTTCCCTCAGCAAAAGAAGAGCCGTTGGGCAGCATTCCCCGGTTTTATTTTACGTATTCAAGCTCGCCACGAGCAAACCGCCAGACTTCTGCCAGGCATTCGGAGACACGAAAGGAAGCCGCCGGATGGAGGCCTGAGGGGGTCAAGGGCGCAGCGCTCAAGGCCAGGCGCCGGCAGGCCCGGCCGGGGTCCTGGAAACAGGCC